GTCCCATCAACAAATTCCAAAGTTTTAGGGAACATGCTAGGCAGCAGCATGAGGTCATTAATTACACTGAAAACGGGCAAATAGGGAAAGCACAGTGTCCATTGTTACAGGCAAAAGGAAAAGAAGTCAGGCTCAGAGTCACCTTGAAGTGCTGCAGGCAGAGAACTGGCACCCCCTGCCGCCACTCGCCTGTATTGAAGGCAGCAGTTCAACATGCTGCTTCCTCCCCGGCTGCACGGCTCAGCCTGCATCAGTACTGAAGTGTCACCTTTCATTAAAAGCACCTTTCATAAAATGAGCACCAACTTAGATTTAGACAGCATAGAGAATATGCATAAACTCAGACTGATTGCCTTTTCCTCACACAAGGACAGATGCCAATTACATTAATTTTGCATCGCAATTCCAAATATAGTTCTTTTAGGAACCAACATTATTAGCTACGCATAGACTAAAATAATTTTTAGGCATTCATTTTAGTATTTAAATATACTGCTTAGACTGTCTGACTTGGTAAAAAGTAAAAATCACTGAGTCTCAATAGCTAGTTTGTCAAACCAGAACAGAAATGCATTTACAACTCAAATTACCATTTCTTCTTTCAAATGCATCCTTAAATCTCTTTGTGGTGTCAATGCCTACAAAAAAACCCCATCAGGACGCTGGTTCGCTAGTGCCACTGCCCGTCACATTAACAGTTGGCTTTCTCAAGCTCCCACATCCATCTCTGGCTTGCGTCCTTAGATGGCAAGTTCTTTAGAGAAGGAACCATCTTTTTGCACCAAACAGAATGGACTCCAGTCCACAAGCAGGTCCCTCCAGGGGCATGATAATATAAATGTAATAGCTAAAATGATGTATTCATCTTTGCTCGTCAACAATTTCATATCTGCACAAAAGCCATGTTCTCAAACTGATGACTCCCACCCACCAGATATAAGCACTCATCTCAGCCTCTTCAGCACTAAATCTCCACGTACAAGTCCTGCAGTACCAATGGGCCCTAAAGAATATAAGAATGAAACTCCATGGGTCACTACAGGGAGACCAAGCCATGTCTGAGGGGGGCAACATGGAAGAACACATGGGAACAATTATTTGAGAAGGTCACAAGCAGGCAGAGGCAACTTCCATCAGTCCTACATCAGGGTGATGGGAGTGATAAAGTCCTATGTCAGGGTGATGGGAGTGATAAAGATCTAGACCGAGCCAATACCAGCAGGATCTAAATTAGCTTTCAAACACAAGGTGCGTGTTACCAGATACCACATATCCTTATCTCAAGGGGGTGTCCCAAGGCACTCAAGTTTCATTACAAACTCCCTCTCCGGTTTGGAGTTGCACATGTCCAGGAGCTCGGTAGCTATGCTATCATTATTCTCTTTGCTCCTTCCCAGTACCCAATAGGTTTGGCTTTGCTTGGGTCTCTACCACCATGCTTAATTTCTGGAAGTTGGCTGGACATGTAAATGTTGACACAAATTGCAAGGGATGCAGAAGAAAAAGACACCTGGCTCCTCAGGTACAAGAAACTGTCACCGTATAATTTACCAATAGCAACTGAAAGATGGGCAAGTGGAAGCCTTGCGTGACAAGGCTTTTAAAAATCTCCATCAAGTGAGCTTTAGTCAAGGCCTGCAGGGTTACAAGATGCAATCTAATGCTCAGAAAAACTGCCTTCCTCTGGTAGAGGCAAGTCAACCACCAGCGAGCACCTTGTAGAAATGAAGTGACCCTAACAGCTCTAGTATTTGCCTGCCTCAACCCATCACCTCCTTTAGGTTTAACCAAAACAGCATATGAAGTTCACTATTCCTCCCAAAAAGGGCAAAAAAAAAAAAACCCGGCACTCAATGACTATACAGACCAACCTATAGTTGAGCCCCCAACAAACTCCACCTTTGCATTCTCAGCACAGAATAAAGAGAGACATTTTCAGCAGAATTTTTATTTTAGTATTTTCAGGCCATTTAACCCTTTGGGTCCTTTCTGTGGTTATTTGATCTCTTGAAAGATTTTTTGAGTTTGGATTTTATTTTTAGCCATCAACTTGTATTTAGAGGGAAAATGCTGTCTCTTCCCCTTCCCTCCCCCCCAAAAAGTAAAAAACATAGGGTTGACTTATAATTGGAACAATTTGGTGTATTCAAGGATGAGTTTTGACCACAGCACTGCTACAACAACAGGAAGTTGCAAAACAATCAATCCCAGTTTTTATTTTAAGGAGAAGTCTTTCCCGAGTTAAAGGCTGAAGAGGAGAGACGCCCCTCAGATGCATAAAAGGCTGGATATGCCTACATTTCACATTGCTTTCTGGCAGATATGCAAAAATAAATAAATACATCTCAGTGCTTTGGGTGAAGAGAAGTTGCCGGCTGTAAGTCATTGCTTGTATTGCACCGACACCTACAGGCCCCATGGTGCTAGTCCTACGTATGACGAACAAGAACCTGCCCCAGGGAAGCCCGGGCCTCTTGCCATTTTTAAATTTCAGCAGAGAGCTACACCAAGATGCGCACACATTAGTTATCAATCATTTCTGCCAAAGACAAACACTTCATTTATAAAATGTTTGCCAATTGTGAAATCCACAACATCTAGGACAATAATCCAGCTCCCAGATGTGCAGAAGAAAGCATACAGGGACATTTTTAAGAGGAAAAAAACACCCGAAAAACTGAGGGCAGAGAGAATTATATAAGCACATTACATCATTGACACGGTATAAAAATCAGCTCTTCTTAAAAGCCGTCTATATTCTTTTTACAGTGCTTGTAAAACGACCGATCAAGTACCATGTGGATTCATCAAAAGTAAAGTCAAAACTGTAACAGTACATTCGTGTCTCTTCTTTTTATGGTTAACGGAAAAGTTTTCAAAATGTTCATATGATATAGCTAAAGGCAACTTGCATATTAAACACAAAAATGCAGCTGGTGACATGCTTAACCTCTGATTAAAAGTAAATGCTATTAGTCAAATGTTTGTTGATCCAGGGTAAACAAGGGGAATTCCACTGTAGTGTTGAAGTTAATGATGTTAACTCCAGATTTATACCAAGAAATAGCACAATTTAACATCCTTGCCGAATTAAAATTGTTAATTTGGCTCAGATGGTTCTCTCTCTCTGGTTTCTAACAAAATGCATGGCATAAAATCTTATGCATTAAATACACATATAAAAGGTAAACTCGAACAACATGGTTAAGCTAAAGCAGTTGTAGGAACCTCCCTTTCCTGAATTTTTCAGTAGTAAGACTTTTATTACTTTTTTAATAGTATACATCTTTTAATAAAGGATACTGCCTCTGTTCGAATATCAGGCATTCAAAGGTCTGAATCAGACTCAAGAGTTCACACTTACAGAGGCATATGGAGAACGGGTACAGAAGTCATGTTGATTCCCCCTTTGCTGCTGGAATGGTCAAGTTAGAAACAGTTTTCCACAAAGGTTGCTTAACTAGGCAACAGCCCATTTATCTCTCTCTCTCTGTGATGGCAATATAAATGTTCCAAGTTTCTTTTTGAAATGATAAGGCAAAATTTTGAGTCTGCCATGTTTCTGCACATCTCATTCATAAACTTTCCCAGCAGAGACGCTCAGTCTACAGGCTCAGGAAAATATAACATGCCCGGAGCATCACCAGACTCAGCTCAAAAGTTAATTTCAGTTATAAATAAAAACTCTACATATTGGTGGCCACTAACTCTCAATAACAGTTATTATATGCCAAACTGTAAAAGGTCTATTCTTTTAATGTTAAAATAGGACTATTTTAAAATGGGGAAATACCACTCCTACCCATGAAGAACAGTCAAGTGCAATTTCCTCATTTTTCTCCAAAGCCTTTAAGCAAAAAAACAGGAGAAAATAAAATCAGCTTCTAATATGCCATCCAGCCTAGATGATTTGGCACCGTTTCATCTGCCAGCTTCATCCGGCACCTGTCATTTTATTCAGAAGTTTACCTTACCATCAGTATAAATAAAGCCTAGCTTTTATTTTTCCACTAAGTCACAGAAAGCCTCATGCACAAATTCCTGGTTGTTTTAATCAAGGGGAGTTTCGCTGTCAGGTTTAACAGAGACAGGATTTTGTCCAACAGGAACAAAAAAAAAAAAAAAAAGCGCAGTTGTGGTTTTATTTACCTAGAACTATATTTCAACATTTCCTCGCTGTGTCTGAAATCAAACACTGCAGCAACAAGGACTTAGAAATATGCCCCTTTATTAGAAGTGAGCATAATTAGTGATCTAGCTTGTGAATGTCATTCTGTTCCAAGACTGAAAGCAAGTGAAGAAAAACAACAAAAAAAACCAGTGAATCTTTTTTCCCCCCCAAAGTTCAGCTTTAACATTTTATGGCCTTAATAACAAAGCTGAAGAAACTTTGCGGCTTACATGGAAGATTTTACCTTTACAGTGTCCTTTTAAAAGCCATCAGCACAGTAAGGTACATACAACTTGTTCAAGAATGAGACTATTGACCAATGGAGATGGGGTTGTGTTAGGACAGAGCCAGGGAGCCATCTTTTGCAAAAAGCTTACAATAAGCAGACAAGGTTCCTTGGGTGAATTTGATATCTTTTTTTAGACCAACCCAAATGGTTGGAGAATAGTTATTAAGCAAGCTTTCGGGTTCAAAAACCCTTCGTAAGCATAAACCTACCATCCTAAGGACTGAATTGAAGGTCAAGTATCTCCAAGTTTTGTTTAGTTTCCACCCCCCAACCTCCTTTTAATGGAAAGAGGGGTTGGATCGACGTATAGGCCATTACTCTTGTACCTATGTCAATTCGCACAGCGCTCAGTTACAAGAGATGAGCACAGTATAAATAGCTATTGAGAATGAGGTAACGAGTTGACTTTACGTCCAGCTACTTCCCAAAACCTCCTTCTGCAATCTACATTTAATGTTCACGGTGATATGCAAGAGCAGGGGAAAACAGTTCTGTCAGACGTTAGAGGAAACAAAAACAAAAAAAAAAGATCATGCTTACTGTGTTGCATTTTGTCCCACACACCACTTGCCGATGGTTCAGCCACTGAGATGCAAAAACTTTATTAAGGGTCCCTAGATGAAATTCTCTCTCTTTCAGGAGACTGGGGAGCTGCTGGGCTGCATATCCATGCAACAGACGGTGGTAGCTGGATTCATTCTGCATCCTGACTTCTCTACCTTTCAGGTAGTACACCAGAGACCTTTTCACAGGGGGGAGTCTTTTCCTTTTGTGAACTGAGTGATCCCAGCCATACTGTTAAAAACACAAACATCAAGCTCAGGAACTGCGACGGAGGCACGCTTTCAGTGACTCTTTTCTTAATGCAGAACCGTATCGTGGAATCACGGACGAGGATGAAAGATCACACCTAGTACAACCCCCTGCTAAAGCATCCTATACAACCATTTGCCTCAACTGTTCTTAAAAACAGCATAAACCGTATTGAGTAAATTCCCGGAGGAATCCAACCCGGCCGAAAACACTGGGGAAAAAGGATCGATGCAGAATCTCCGCACACGATAGGCTTTTTAAATAAATATTTCTCTGACAGGCCGTTCGTAAGAACTGCCATTTACCGGGTCAGACCATAGTCCATCGTGCCCCGTTTGTGCCACGCAGGCTGGAAGGGAGATGGACCCGCATCTCCCCTTCCTCTCTCCCGTGCAGCCCCCACCATTTAGCACAGGGGCAGGCAATTATTTCGGGCCGAGGGCCGCTCAGAGGCGCAGCAAGCCATCGAGGGCCTCACGACCGGCAGCCGGGGGCAGGTATATATTCGTTTTCTACATTTTTTAGGGGCCCCGTGGGCTGCATTGCGCCCACCCCGGATTTAGGGCCTGAGCAGTTCCAGTAAGTCACAGATCCTTATTTACTTCCTCTACCGCACGGTGCAGAGAAAGCAACTAGGAATTAAATAGGGGGCGGGGCTTCAAAGGGGGGGGTCCCAGCCCCGGGGAGGGGGGCCGGGCCCACCTGTGCGT